CTCCAACCTGGGTGACAGAGTGAGACTCTGACTCAAAAAAAAAAAAAACCAAAATAAAAACTACTAGCTGGAGGATTGTCTAGTTTTTATCTTCCAGTTCTTGTATTTATTTATTTATTTATTTCTATTTATTTATTTATTTTGAGTTGGAGTCTCACTCTGTCACCCAGACTGGAGTGCCGTGGCATGCTCCCGGCCACTGCACCCTCAACCTGTTGGACTCTGGTGATCCTTCTGCCTCATCCTTCCAAGTAGCCAAAACTACAGGCACACACTACCATGCCTGGCTAGTTTTTGATTTATTGTAGAGACGAGGTCTCACCAAGTTGCCCAGGCGGGTCTCAAACCCTTGGACTCAGGCAGTCCACTCGCCTCGGCCTCCCAAAGTGCTGGGAGTACAGGCTGAACCACCAAGCCCGGCTATCTTCCAGTTCTTACATCAAGTTTTTCATGCCTGCTCTTATATAAGTTAAACTCTTTTTATAGTAGTATTTCCTTTTTGTTTCATGAGATCACTTTTTCTTATCTCTCTGAGAATTTTGGGGGTGCACTTGTTCTAGTTTTTGCTTTTCTGCCTAGTGTGTTTCTTCCATGTTTTGATCTCTGTGCTAGGGGCTTTTCTCCATAAGTCTATTGCTCCATGCTCGTGTGTTCCTACTTCAGGTGAGATAAAAACTGGCAAACTGCACCCTAATGCACAGCGCTGCCAGTGGTGGGTTTTACTGTGGAGTAGACTGGCTGGGCCTTTGGGAAACTCTGAATTTGGGCCCTTTGTTCTTGGACAACTCAGATTTCCTAGAGAATAGTCTTAAAGTCTCTTGCCTGAGGCTATAAATTTGCCGGGAGTTAAACTTTTACTTGATCCCTCTGATTTTCAAGATACCCCCAACAGCTATACCTGTCCCCCAGTGCAGATGCCCTCTGTTTTGCCCTTTCCAAGAACAGAAACTTCTGGTCTTAGTGGGGTTTGTGCAAGGCTGTGACTAGGCTATTCAGAGTTGGAGTGGGAATTGTGGAATTAACTAGTTCCTTAAACAGATTTTTAACTGATCCTTAAATGCCCTGCTTATACTCCCAGAGATTTTGAGCCTTTTCGGGGCACACAGGACAAATGGGAGTATTCAGGGTGTTCCTCCCTGCTGACGTAAGATTCCCTTCCTGAGATCAACTGGGATGTTTATGATTTATCTTCCCATTTCCAACTTCCAAAATGTTTCCTTTTTTGTTCTCTTTGTTCTTTTTGGTTTATTTTTTTAAAAATTCTTTGCCTTGGGAGGAAGTGGAAGTAAATATATTTCAGTCTGCTGTTTTTAACCAGAAGCCTCAGAACTTTTTTTTGTTTTGTTTTGTTTTGTTTTGTATTGTTTTGTTTTAGTTGGAGTCTCACTCAGTCGCCCAGACTGGAGTGCAGTGGCACGTTCCCAGCCACTGCAGCCTCGACTTGCTGGGCTCCGGCGATCCTTCTGCCTCAGCCTTCCAAGTAGCTGGAACTACAGGCACGCACTACCACACCCGGCTAATTTTTGATTTATTGTAGAGATGAGGTCTTGCCAAGTTGTTCAGGCGGGTCTCAAACCCGTGGGCTCAGGCAATTCACTCACCTCAGCCTCCCAAGGCGTAGGATTACAGGCTGAGCCACCGAGCTCGGCTCAGAACTTTTTAAAAACTTTTAAAGAGCAACTTTGTAAGGTAACTCTCTAAATCTTGCATATCCAGGCCTTCCTATTCTTAAGCAGATACTGAATCATGTTGTAATGAATATTGTTTCAAGTACCAATTATTATTTTTTGCCTCTACTAAATGGCCACAGGCTGTGCTTCTCTTGGCTCCTGGGCCATATGGTCTTTATATTAGTTTTTTTTCTCTCTTCCCTTATAATACCCTCTAGATTTGCACTTTCCAAGCTGCTGTTTTTCAACAGACCAAGTCATGTGTTGAAGTTCCAGATAAGAAGCAGTGACTCTCAGCTCTTATGGGAGGGCCCTGAGGACAGTGGGTGATGGCTGTCAGGTGCAGGGTTCTGGACACATTCTTTCTAGCTGTTTTGAGGTTCTTCTGCCTTTCTTGGTTTTCAGAAGCGTTTTAGCCAGAGGATGCTGGATGAGTTTCCTCTTTAACACAGTCTTACCTGGTTTCAGGTGTGACTAAAAGGAAAGTAGGGGCAGAGCAGGTGAGGTTAGTGTGTCCAAGGACAAATTAGGGCGAATGGAATCATGTTGTCAGTGTGCAGTGGAGTGTAGTTTCTAAAGGAATATGGTGTGTCTTCTTTGTAACGGGGCAGTCTCCCCTCATAATTTTGTCCTAGGTATTAGTCAGGATGCTCACACTTGTTCTCTTAGGGCAGGTGTCAATAAACCGGTCCATAGGCCAAATCCAGTCTACCGCCACCTGTCTTTTCGGACTCTTAAGCTAAGAATGGCTTTTATATTTGTAATTGGTTGGGAAAAAAATCAAAAGAAGAGTATTTTATGGTACATGAAAATTGCATGAGACTCAGATTTCAGTGCCCATAAATGAAGTTTTATTAGAAATAGAACTATGCTTGTCTGTTTATATACACTGTCTGTGACTGCTCTCATGCCACAGGGGCAGAGTTGCATAGTTGCAAAAGAGATGCTAGAATCCACAAAGCCTAAGAAATTTCCTAGCTGGCTCTTTAAAGAAAAAGCCTGCTGACTGCTGTCTTAGAGGATCAGGCCTTGCTGATCTTCTAAGAAGTATTTTATAGTGTGAGAGTTTTGTAGTTGGTGGTGACTGCAGGCCAGCGTTCAGCCGGGTCAGTGTGATGATGTGTGCTGGGACATTTACACCCAGAGACTTGAATGGAAGTGGAATGACCAGACTGGTCAGATTGGTGAGGCTTCCGTTTTGATGCCTTTTCAATGTCTTAAAAATATGAGCAAAACCAATGTTACATTTTCTTCACCTTCGTTCTGAGACTGCAGGCACCGAGGCCCAGACAGGGTTCATTCAGGGCAACAAAGGAAGTGTCTGATGTAAGGCAGTATGCAATGGAAGAATTTATCCTTCCCCAGTCTTCCTCTTCTGCTTCTCCAGTCCCTTTCCCCCACTGCTCACCAAGCCTCCATTGTATGCCCAGCTACAAGATCAAGACCCACCAGGGAACTACGCTAGAGCTCCTCCCCTGGCTCCTCCCAGACCTATGACACTTGTCTGTATTTCGAGAGTTGACAGATCAATTGTCACACATTTTGCAGATGAAAATGCCAACTCTCAGAAACCCACTTATCCAGGTCCACCAGATGGTAGGTGTGAATTGATAGACCTCTGTCTGCAGCTCTAAGAAGCACTCCCTTGCTTGTGTGTTTCTATCTCATGGCTTTTAGACCTGCTGGACCCAGAGGCTCACGGATGGGACCTGAGCCTGTGATCAGCCACCTTCATTCCCTGAAGCAGGGACCATAGAGCACAGAGGCACAGATGACACTGAACCAGAGATCAAGATTCAGCCCCTCCCTTTCACATGAAGGGAGTAAGGCAAAGGGAGGGGGAGGGGTAGAGGTAGTGGCTAGTGCCCAGCTTCTAGCCCCAGCCCCTAGTCATTGGCTTCAGACCCACATGGATGGGTGCTCTAGAAGAAGCCTGGTTTCAGGCCCAGGAACCTTGGATCTAGCACATTCCTTCGGGCTTCTCATTTTTCCTTTTTCCATAAAAAAGAGGTAGCTAAATGACAATTCAGCTCTTAAGTTTTCAGCTTAAACACAGAAGTTTCCCTTATGAAAGGGGATGAGGAAGGAACAGGTACCAGTAAATATTTTTTCCCCTTCTTTGTAGGACTGACAAGTCCACCTCACTGATCAACAAAGGCCACCCAAAAGGACCTGGTAATTATTTAATTTGGGACTGAGTTTGTTTCTGCTTTGTCTGTGGGCAGCATGAGGCACATTTCCAGCAAGGTGGCCAGCCCTGAGGTGGGGCCCAGCTGGTCTCCATTCCCCAGCCTTCCTGCCCTCCTCGGGCCCTGATGCTCCTGCTCTGAGCTGCTTGGCTTCTCACTCCTGTCCCCTCCGACTGCCATGGCGGGCTGGGGATGCCCCTGGTGACAGCCAACTCACTTTGAGACACTTGCTCACCCCTCATGCTCTGGAAGGGCTGCATCCAAGGCAGAAGGTCTATTGGCTTTTGGGGGACTTTTCCTTCAACAGATCAGAACATCTGGGGAAATCTGGTATCAGATACCACACTGTGGCTTTTACATTTATTGTTTACATCTCGTGTTTATGATCAATGGAACAGCTTATAAAAGTGCTTCATTTTTGCCTTAAAGCAGTAGATCTCTCTGGAACAGAAGCTCTGGGTCCTCTGTCCAACGCCGTGGCCCTGCAGCCTCCTGCACCCATGCCCCGGAAGTCTCAGGCAGTAAGTGGAAGAGCCTCCTTTCCTGTCCCTTTGCTCTAGCCAGATAGCACAGAGGGTTCTACAAAGGCTCAGGGAAAGCAAGTCTTTTCCTCTGCCTCTGGAGAGTGGCCTTCTTCCTGGGACCTAGTTGCTTGGATCTGGGCAGCTGGCAGTCTTAGGCCTCTCGCTGCAGTTCCAGGACAGATCCACTCACAAGCGCCAAGTCCTGGCTACTTCATTTCCCAACTCTTGGCCCCTGCTCCTGGCTTAGCTGGGATCTCTTCCCTTATCCCCAGCTCCCAAGCTGCAGTGGCCTGTCCCACTGTGGCATCTGTGGGCTCCTCAGCCTGGGTATAGGAATCTTGAGACCAGTTCTCTACCCCAAGACACTAACCCTTTGCCCTCTTTCCTGATGCAGACCAAGTTGAAGCCCAAGAGGGTTAAAGCGCTCTATAACTGTGTGGCCGACAACCCAGATGAGCTGACCTTCTCTGAGGGGGACGTGATCGTTGTGGATGGGGAGGAGGACCAGGAGTGGTGGGTGAGTCAGGGGTGCTTCTGGGAGGGGCCCCAGGGGCTGAGCTGCATCCCTGCCCACCTGGCCAAAGACCTGCTCACAAGTGAGTTTCTCTCTCAGCCTGAGCTGAGTCCAGTCCTGTTTCCTGGTGCCACTCTCTGGTCCTCAGCCCTCTAGCCACTCTGCCCCTTAGCATCCTCAGATATGTCTTCCTCCATGGACACAGCTTCTGAGTGGGCCTGATTCATCTCCCCAGTGGGCAGGCCAACTTGGGCTGCAGTTTCAGGAGTACATTTGAGACCTGAAATGAGACCCTTTATTTTTAGGCCTTGATTTTCTGGGTTATTATCCAACCCCATTGCCAGATTAGTGGAGTAGGGTGTCTAGAAAGAGATCTGATCTAGAGGACAGAGTCCCCAGGTATGGATCTGGTTCTGATGCAAGCTGTGGGCTGCTCAGACATCCAGCAGGGTACAGGAGCAAGATGAGCACGGGGCTTCCCTGGTGACCTTAAGAATTCAGGCTTGGGCAAGCCCTTTGGGCCCTCTCTCACTGTGGGAGCTTTTCTGTCCTCTCAATAAATCCTGCTTTCAAAAAAAAATTCAGGCTCTGCCACTTATAGGAGGCTTGGGCTTTTATCTTGGAGCTTTAGAGCCATCATCCAGAAAGGGAAGTCACCCACAGCACTTGTAAAGATGAAATGGAAGGCCCCCTCTAAGAGGCAGCTGGGTGGTGGGATGAACTGACCGGAGCGAAGCGTGTGCAAAAAGCCGGTGGCAGTGTCTCTTGCCCTGTGGACACTAATGGCGCAGTACCAGAGTTCAGCTGAGGACTCAGGACTTAAGAAACTGCTTTGCTTTGTGAAGTGCAAGTTTTGACACTGCCCTTGTCGCTGTCCCTAGCAGAGCTCCCGCATATTTAAGTTGTAAGTTCTTGGAGTCCATAGCCCTTGTGAGCTCTCAGGACCGTGCAGCACTGCTCTGGTGTGGCTAGGCTTGCCAGTCTTTCTTGTGGCCTCGTTTGGGATTAAAGTGTCTGTGGGTTAGGAGGTCCCGCCACCACCAGCCACACTACAGCACAGGCACAGAAGGTGCCACGGCTCCTGGGCTTCTGGGCTCCTGGGTTCAGTGAGGAGAGTGCCCAGCCTGTGAGGACCTGAACTTGCTCCCTCCCCAACAGTCGACCAGGCCCACCAGCAAGTGGGAGCCTGCCTGACTGGCTCTTACACTTGCCTACAAACCACCATATGGATGGGGCTCCAACCTGACAACAGGCTTAGCCATGTGGAAAGTACTTGTTCATTTCCCAAACTAGAAATATAGAAAGTAATAAAGAAGAGTGTTGCCACGGCCCTCCACCCCCAGGAAATCCTACCATTTATATTTTGGCCATTTTTAGACTTTTATTTGCCTACATATTTACATTGTTGGGATCATTCTTGGATATAGGTGAAATAATTTGCCCAGAGTGGGCACACATGGATTTGTTGAAGCCTTCCATAAATGCCTGACTAAATTTAAATGGAGCCAAGTCACACCTTGGCCACTTTGATTTTGCAGCTCACACACTTACGTTACTCAACAACTTCTTTATTTTTTAAAGAGGCAGGTGGGAAATAGTGGTCTGATAGCCGACCCGTGTGCCCCCCCAGGACTGGAGACCCAGGTAGACATGTCTGTCCTCACAGCTAAATGGGAGACACAGCTGGTAAGAGTTCCAGGGGGACATGAACTGTTGGAAATGTGAATGAGGAACAAATAGTTCAGATGTTTTAACCAGTAATTCCTTGTCAGAAGAAATTCTTCTAAACAAGCCTTTTTTCTCACCACAAGCCATATGAATTGCCCTTCAGAGGAATTTTAATGACAAGCTAAACTTTTCATTTCAGATCGGCCACATTGAGGGAGATCCCAGTCGCAAAGGAGCATTTCCTGTGTCATTCGTGCACTTTATTGCTGACTAAATTGCTACTGAGCAAATGCCTCTTTTAACGCTTATGTTCCTGTTTCATTATCGGTACCAAAACTCTCACCAGATAACCAGTTTCATGAACTGTAGTGTACAGTAGCCCATTTTCTCTAATACCACTGTTCTGTTTTAAAAACTCGCAGTTTTTACATAGAAATGAATTTTTATAATTTGTGTTTTTCATGAAACATTGCTGTGTTTTTATTAGAAAAAAAAATGGAATTTCCTAAAAGGTGAACTGAAAAGTTATTTTAACTGTAAAACCAAGATCCTGCATCTATACAATTAGCTAAATCTAAAAATATTTGAAGAATATATTTTTTTTAAAAAAAGAAGAAGAGTATTGGAAGTAAAACTCTTCTTGCTATCCTTGGCCCAATTATGGAGTTGGTGACCTTTAGTGCAATTTTTATTTGAGGAAGCCAGTCAGCTGCTTCAGAAGTACGTGCCCAGCCATGGACTTTTCTCGGTAAAATGCCATCAGTTCACCCTTAAAGACATATTCCTTTGAAATCCACTGAATGTTTATTTAAAGCAACTTGGAAATGTACACATTAGCATTGTACTTTCTAGCCCTGATTTGTGGGGTTGCAGCTATCACTATATTCTGCATGTGTGTATAACCTGTTATTGTGAACAATCATACTTAACAAAACTACTGATGGTTTATTACAACATATGGTAATTGCAGTTGAGTTCTAGGTTATATGAAACTGCATTTCCTGAATTTGGTTAAAAACTAAGGATGATGGATTGCAAAACAGTTCTTTAAACTAGTTTATATGCTTTAGGTGTTTTGGAATTTGCCTTCTTAAATTCTTTAATCACACAGAAAGCAACTGTACACAATAGAATTCTGTGGCCCTGACCACAACATACTAACACATCACTTGCTGTTTCCTATTGAGTGTACCACTGCCTTCCCTTTCTAGCCCACGAGAATGTTTACTCAGCTTAGTGTCTTGTATTTATATAATATTCCAACAGGAATGGTAGTTACACTGTCTTGAAATTTAATCTGTCCATCTGTTTATAATCAAGAGCATATTGAAAATCTATAGGTCCCAGTTAATAAAATACTCCCAAACATCCCAGTTTTTACGACTTAAGGCCATCGTATCATTCTTAAGCTACTTGGGGAGAGGGGTTGTGAATTAAATTAGGTTGTATATTATAAAATCAAATCTCATTAGTTTAATGAACTTGACTGTCATACCTCTATTTAGTAATTGTGAGCATACGATTCATAGTAGGAATATTGGAAATTTTGGCACTCTTTGGGAACAGGCATATGATGCCCACTTGGGCTTTTAACAAAAGTAAAGGAATAAATTTAAGTATAGGCTTGGAGAGTGAGGCCACAATGCTATGACAGCATTTGTTGTGATGGTACATTTGATTGAAGCAGCCTGTCTATATTATGCAAGACTTTTTAAGTGTAGAGCTCTTTTTGTTGTTGTTGTCTTGTTTTTTTGGGGGGGTTTTTTTGGGCATTAATTGTACTTTTTGTTGCTATTAAGGAAGACAGAACAAACTGGAATGCTTTATGATGTTGTATAGCGATTGCTTCTTGCCTTTCAAAGTCCTGGGCAAAAATGTGTTAGATCTGTAATTAAAGTCTTTTTTTAAAGCACTACATCTGTTTTCACTAATTGTTAATTTCTGTTTGAACCCTTCATTTAGTTAATTTTCTCATAGATTAAAGAAGGTAAACAGATGTATTTTGCACAGTGCACTTCTTGCATCTATTTTTAACAATCCTCCTGTATCTGTTTTATCTTACAGTCAAGCCTTTTGACTATGTGGTGCCAGCTATATATGAGGAATCAAGTTGATTCATATCAGCATTTGAACTCTAGTCCCAAACTAATCTATCAGGTTCACTGGTACATAAATATCTAGGAAATATTTTTCCAATCTACAATTTGGTGGTGCTATTGTGCAGTAATTAATAGTACTCTTACCAGAGGAGAAATTATACTAACTTCCCTGCTAATATCCTTTTTTAGTTTTTTGCTCTTAGCAAATTAAAAAAAGAAAAGCAACTAAGAGAAAGGAAAACATTGTAGATATCTATTTATATTTAAAGTTTATGTTTCATGAACTTCAGCTGCAGGATTCTGGCATTTGGTGTGCCAATTTCCATCAAATCTGACTTCTAGGGATGATGACTCAGAAATATATGCACAGACTAATAGTTAAGGGGTGGATGACATAATATGCAGCTTAGAATGCTATTTTGAGATGTATGATATTCAGTTCATTCACTTGATTACTTTGGTCGAGTTGCAGCGCAACTGTATATATTGTATAACCTAAATTGATTCTTATTTTCATTGTCTTTAATGCAGTGATTTATAATTAGAGCATGTTTAATAAGTTTACTCTTGTTAACTAGTCATTTGACTGGAAAAAAATAAAATACTTTTAAATGGACATAGTTTCATTTTTAATGTTTTTAATCTTTAAAGTGTTGTATACTGATGGTCTTTTTTAAAAAAAAAGTACACTAACACACTATACATGAGACCCTTTAAATACCTATTACTTTTATCCTAAGGAGTAATCTTATAAGGTTTTTCTTAACTCCTAGATAAACATTATGGTTTACAAGCATGTTGTCTGGGCATCATACTTTTGAAAATGTGTGTTCTTTAAGTTGGCAAATCACTGTTCCAAACAATCGAGATCCCTAGGCAAAGCCAGTGATGCCATGCCACGGGTAAGCTGCTACAGGCAGGTTTCAATAGTCATCTTCAGGCCCTCAGTGTTTATTATTCACTGAGTGGACTTCTGTGACACTTGGGTTTTAAGCTTAAATGTGTTTGAAAGTGACAAATGAGGTTTTTTTAATCCCAAAAAGTAGATGACTTCATTGAGAGTTAAGTCACTGTATAATACGACACATTTTAATATAAAAACAAACGATCAACATTTTATACATTGCATTTTCTTCAGAAAATCTGGAGCAAGGGATCACTTCATATTTCTACAATAGTTCAACATGGCAGATCAAAAACAGAACTATTTAGCTGAACTTTGAGTTAAAGTTGACTTCCACTTGATTGCAGATTCAAGTTTTCTCAGATGTTAACACAGAGTCAAAAGCGGTAGATAACACCTTGCATATTGCCTGTGCTTGTTCCTACATCATGTGAAAAGATATAGTAAGAGCAGTCATTTAATTTGATCAGCAAAAACATAAACCTGAGCCCCTTAACACCTCTCCTAAGCCTACACATCATCACTTCTGGAAAACCAGCATGTGCCTGCCTTGGTCAGTGGGACCCACACATGTGGGTCCTTGTGCTCTCCTTCAGAGAAGAGCACACACAGTCAACACACATCTGCTGCAGCCTATGAGAAAGCTGATCGCTGAGTCAGGGAGGACAATGTGTAGAAACGGAGGGAGCCTTTGGCCTCTGGAGGACACACCACCTTCCCTCATCTACCGGGGTTTCCTCCAAACCTTTAAATCCAGGCACGATGCATGCTGCTGCTGGGCCTAACAGAAGTAGTTAACCTGCACTAAGTTCTAGACAGCTGGCTTACCTGGGGCTTACTATGCATTGTTAGGTGGCCAGAGTTAGGGTTAGTGTTTCTTCAACCTTTGAAAAGGCTGTTAGTAGTCTCCAGGTTTGGCCACTTCACTTGATATAAGAAACGGACCAAAGTAACAAAAGTCTCACCAGGCTGTTGCACTGATAAACCCACAGGCTGTATTCTTCATTACTTGCATCTGTGGTCTTCAGAGCCAATAAGCTCTTTCCTGCCCCCAGACCATCATCGTAACACACCATCCGGATAATTAAATATAGAGCATGTCTATGCAAAACATCCTATGGAGATCAGGAAAAATTCAGAAAGATTACGACTGTGTTAAATGTTAATTAGTTCTTATGACACACATCTTCCCAGGTAGAGCATACGGTGAGGCTTCAAACATGGCATATCCATGGATCTGGCAGAAAGTAGTTGTACAGGTTTCTCACCCCAAGGGATGTTCTGGTATGCTCGGTTACGGGGCAATGTGCTTTTGGGATCACATCCTCCTACTTAAATCCCATTAGTACAGGAGTCCGGTGATCTAAACTTACTATCCCGGTCACTGTGCCTACTTTTCAAGTTGACGCTGCTCTTAATTGATGTAGTTTCTAAGCTGAAAATGCGTTAGGCGCCATCAGTGGGGAGGTTGCATTGGGCCCTGCCTACACTGGAGAGACAAAGAAAGCCTCTCATCGCCCTAAGAAATGGGTCGCATTCAAGACTAGCTGCCAGGAACATTTAAAAACCAACCACTCTGCAAACAGGAGCAGCCTTTTTTTAAGCAGGCTCTTAATGGCCTGAATTTGGTTACCTAAAACACATTTTTTTCCTTAATAAATTATATTACTTACATACTGATCTGATGTTGATACTTTTATACCATACTTGGAAACTCCCATAATAAATTCTTCCTCCAGAGGAACAAAAGGTAACTTTCCATCTTGCTGTAAAGCAAAAATAAAAATAGACTTACGTCTGATGAGTCACTTTTATTATCTGACCATCACAAGCCCAAACCCTTTAAAGAATGTGGGGTACACATTAGCTGTGCAAGAATTTCTAAAGAGGCAGAAAAAAATGTTCCCCCATTTCTTTTTTTTTCTTGAGTTGGAGTGTCACTCTGTCACCGAGGCTGGAGTGCAGTGGCACTTTCACGGCTACCACAGCCTCAATCTGTTGGGCTCAGGTGATCCTTCCTCTTCAGCCTTCCAAGCAGTTGGAATTACAGACTTGCACCACCACGCCCAGCCAATTTTTTGATTTATTGTAGAGATGAGGTCTTGCCAAGTTGCACAGGCTGGTCTCGAACCTTTGGGCTCAGGCAATCCTCTTGCCTCGGCCTCCCAAAGTGCTGGGATTATAGGTGTGAGCCACCACGCCTGGCCTCCCCCAATTCTTTTGTAGCCCACAAATCTGAGTGGGCTACAAAAGAAAATTCAGATCCATCCCTTTCATGCATATTGTTCTATCCTTTTGTCTTGAATGTTAACCCAAATCACACACTGAGATACTTCTCACAGATCCTAGTGAGATTAAAATATTTACATGAGAAAAGTAAAGGTCTTTTAATTTTTTTTTTTTTTTTTTTTTTTTTTTG